TCATTGTGAAAGAGTCATCGTAATTAATATGTCGTGAAAATGTCACGCATTATTATTATCGACAATATATCGACAAGGATTTATAAAATAATAAATATTTTTTTCGCAGGATTTTTTTCGACAGAATCGACCGCGAAGCTGTTCTCACTAGGAAGAAAAATTGCAGATACGGAATGGATATGAGTGAAATCTTGTTGAAGAAATTCGAGCTTGGTGAAAGCGACACGACGATCTTTGCGAAAATATGCATCGCCCGGAGGAGTTAAAGGAAAAAGATATAGAGAAGGACTGCCGTGACGACATGAACAAATGTTCGTCGTGCATATACATGCTTCTCCGTTTGCTCTTATTCTATTCCTTCTCTCGCTATGCGCCTGGCTCTGCATTTGCCGATGGGGATTCGGCTACAATCTGAAAGATCGAGAAGTAATTTATGCGCGAGTATCCAAGAAACACAACAAGTTAAGAGAAAATGACTTTATTTCGATATTATTAAAGTCGAAATAATGATTTTTGGTTTGACTGTTTATTCACGTTAAGAATTAAAATAAAGTTATTTTGATTTTGTATTGACTTTTGTGTGTGTTCCTTGGATACCTCACGACTTTTTGCTAGAAATCTTCCTTTTATTTACGTTTTTTAATGATTTCTGTGAATTGCAGTGCTCGTTGTTTTTACTTTGCAGATTACCTATTGCCTGGTGGCCTATTTTATTATTATCTCGTTCTTGAACGTCGTCTTTTTAGGACATATACGACTATTTTATGATTATCCGCCGGAAATGGTCGGTAATTGATAGGATTATCGGCAGAGTGATGACAGGTGATGTCAGTCGCCTTGGCGGCCGCTAGATGGCGTTACCCGTACAATTCTTGCTGGAAGAAGCTGCTAATTTCTGGAGTGCAAGATATTAATTTACGAGTGAATTAATGATTTCTCGCGGCATATTTCAGTGAGAAACGTAATTAACTTTGGTGGATGCGCAGAAAGTGTTTGTAGTTATCGGAATCAACGAAGATTGCGCGGAGGTTGATTGATCGCTTATAACCTAACCTAAAAACGGAACTACTACGGTAAATATTTGTCAATAATCTTAAACTCTAATAGATCTAATGAGAGAAGTTCTAACACTTTATCGAGCGTTTTATTAACTTTAATACGTTTTTGGAGCATTTGTTATGTACTTGCATTTATTATGTCCTACTATCTTCTCTCTCTCTCTACGAAGAGATCTAAATATAATGAATTCTCTAACTTTAATCTTTAAATGAATATCACCCCTTTAGGGTGGTACAGTACTTGGTATTTAAAATCTTAGCCTCTAAGATAAAAGGGAAAATAAAAAGTATTGTCCAGATGCTTAGAAGTCTTAAAGTTCATTATTTTTACATTCCTCTGTCTCACAATGTAACAATGTAACAAATATAAATTTAATTATAACATAATAGTAAAAAATTAACTATGAAATTAAAGACTTTCTGTTCTGAACACTTATCAACTTGCTTATCTTTAAGCATCTACTTAAAGGTTAAGTAAAGTGTTCATGGAGAAAAAGTATGGTAACGTAGTTGCTTTTTATATTATTTTCCAGATGGGTCTTTCACGACACATTCAATTCATCAGCCGTACGGTCTTTGTTCAGAACAACGATGTAGACAAGGCATGCCGCTTATTAAATCGCATACTGTCCCAAGAAGACATCTTTGGTCAGTACAGGCGCACGAGGTATTATGAGAAACCAACTCAGGTCAGACGTAGGGTCAACTATGAGATGTGCAAGTCGATCTACAATGAGGATATGGACAGGAAGATCAAATTTCTTCTACGCAAGAACAGAGTAGATCCTTTTCCCGGTGCATCGTAAGATAACTTGTTCCATATTAAATCGTGTCATTGCAATAAATCTGTCCATCAATTGATAAAATATAGAAAATATTCAAAATAATACTGATTATTTCTTCTTCTAATTATTTTAATTTTATTCCCCGTATGTATGATACAAATTGATCATTCAGGATACTTTCGCAACTGAAGTTTATAGCTTTATTTATTTGTATAATTGAATGCCCTGATATATATTACTTCTATTACATTTCACGTGGACGGATCCGAAAGTATTTTTGTATATAAATAAAAATTGATGAGTACATAGTGAGACACAAAGATACAATCTGCAATCGGAGAAAATGGATCAATAAGAAATGCGCTTTAAAAGTTAATGCAGTGCTAAGAAGCAAAATGAAAAATCATCCTGGCAGACAGAAATGCGTTTTCTCGCTATCTCACGCCATAAGTAACTCCAGGAAGTCGGTTTGCGCGAGAAGCGCGCATTTCTCTCTTCCTCTCTCTCTCTCTCTCTCGCACATTTTTTTTCCCTTTTCCACTCCTCTTTCTGTAAGCGACTTCCATCATCTTTCTTTCGCGAGAGGCGAGAAAAGACAAAACGTCCGGTTGGTTGGTCGGCTTTCCTGGCAACGACTCCGCCAACTTGGCGAAAATTGAATAGATAGTGGCGCCCGGACTATGCCAAGTTTTCCAGCGGGGTTTGTCGGTGGACAGGAGGGTAATTCAACCCCTCCCGTGGAAAGAGCGAAAGAATGAAAGAGAAAGAAAACAGAAAGAGAACGGTTG